ATTTAATTCCCATAATGAACCTGAGACGTGGGTACTACTCTCCCCATTTCACAAATGGGAAAACTAAAGGTCTACACATGCTATTACGTGACCTGACCCAGTAGGTAAATAGCAAAATTGCCAACCCCTGCTTTTCCAATGACACTAGACACCAGTTTGCCTCATTCACATGGTATGAATGGATGAAAGGATTTAGAAAAACAGAATAGATTATGGATGAGACTGAAAAAAAAAGGGGGAAAGAGAAAAATATCACAAAACTACCTAGGAAGGCAAATATGAAGTACAAAAGGCAAAGCAAGAGGAAACATTTTTCTGGGGAGATTGGGAAGAAGACAGAATGAAGGGGAATTTCACATCAATATAGTCAGAAATGGAGGTATAGTGGGCCCTAAAGAAAAAAAATTTAATAAACAATAAAATGTAACTCATTACATCAATAATGAATTGTAACTTAACAAAGTAAGGAAGGGAAAAGGGGAGGAAGGGGCAGAGGGGGAGAAGGGTAGGGGCTGATGGCCACAGGACTGGGCCTTCAATAGTGAAGAGGACTGTTACAGCATATTGGAGAGGGGTGCAGAGGGGCTGGTGCAAGGCAGACAGAACAGGAATTCAGAGTCAGATTTTCTTGTGTTCCATCTCTTGGTCACCACATGGTCAAAGTCAAGTATGTTAGCTTCCCTGAGCCTCTGATTTCACATCTACCAAATGGGACAACAAGTCCTACCCCAGTTACTACTGGCATTATGTATCAGAGTAATAGTTAGGATTTACTGAATACTGTTGTGGCTTGGATATCAATTGTCCCTTAATGGCTCACACGTTGAAGGCTTGGTTATTAATGCAGGAGTGTTCTGAGGTGGTACTCTTGGGCAGTGACTGGATCATGAAGGATTTGACTTCATGAATGGTTTAATCCATTGATGGATTCATAGGTTAAATGGACTTCGGGAAGGGCTTTGTTACACAAATGGGTCTTTCTTTGATTCTTGACCAACATGAAGTAAACAGCTTAGCTCCACAACAAGCTCCCTGCTATTGATGTTCTGCCTTCCCAAAGGCATAAAAGCAATGAAGACCAGCAACCATTAACTGATAACATGAGCCAGAATGACTCCTCCTTAAGTTTGATTTTTCTCAGGTAGTTTGTCACAGCAATAGAAAACTAACACATCCATCTCCTATCTTTTAAATGCTTTGCTTAAGGGGGCTGTGAGGAATTTCTGAAGCCTCACAACCACCACAAGGCAGGAATTGTCATCATTCTTTGATATATTACATAAAGTTCTGAAATCACAGAGCATGTTTTCAGAAATATGAGTTCTTTTCCTGTGGTCATTCCAGAGTTGGCACCACCTACTACATAAAACTGGCACTCCTTGTCTGCCTTTCCATACTGTCTTCATTTACTCCCTCTCTCCCTCACTATACATTCTCCATTTCCCATCATCCAATTTACCCTCTCTGCCCTCCATCTGTTTTCACCTTCTGTGTTCTCAGGCAGGTGTCTTGGTTGCAAGCAACAGAAACCAATGCTGAATAATTTAAGCAGGAACTGAATTCAGTAAAGGGAGCTTAGATTACATAGAATCACCAGAAGGATACTGGATCTTGGTTTAGAGTACCAGAAATGAAGAGCACCACTCAAAATCACAACACATAACTGGACTGGTGAAGATATTGTTGCAATCACTACCAGGTATTAACAGGGCAATTCACATGGTTGGCACCAATGACACAGGACTCTGAGCATGCAGAACCAATTCTGGCAGCAAAGAAACTTGGATGTCACTACCTCCAATGTTGCAACTTTGGCCCCAGATGGATTATATCTGGTTCCAGTTTCCTTCTTGACATCTGAGATAAATAAATCTGATTGGTGAAGTCTGTATCATGTGCCCAACTCCTAACAGTAATGGAGACTGATAAGCTATCTAGAAATTTTATCTTCTTCATGAGAAGTGGGCTGTACCCCAGAGAATGGACACCCCCTGCAATGTAAGAAAATGATTTGTTCAGATGGAAAACAATTGGAAAAAGTTTCAAATGCCAGCCTTAGCCTGAATTCCCAGTCCCATGCTCTTATTTCTTTATGGCTCAGCTCTAATGCCACCACCTCTGAGAAGCTTTCTTTGATTTCTCTGAGCAGAACTCACGACATACCTCATAGAAGAAACACATGTCCACCTGCCTGCCTGATACCTGAAATAAATTTTTTACGTGACTCATGTCTGCATTCCTTTCTCATCATTATCAGTTCAGTAATGGCAGTAGCTGTGTTTGCCCATCTCTGCACCCCCATATAGAGCCTGGTAGGATGTTTGCTAGTGAATGAATGAATGAAAGTTTTGGTCTCATTGGACAGGCCTTTGTACCAGAGGTCCATGAAGGACTTGCACAGACTCTGCCTTACATAACGGAGCCCTTTTTTCCTGGTGTGCACTTCTATAAATGGACTATGTCAGCATATTTGAAGAAAGGGCCATAGAGAATCAGAAAGCCCCATTGCAGAGGATAGTGGCGGATTGTAAGGGTACAAAGGAGAGACTGAGGGAGGCAGGGTGACATATTTTGGAGGAGTAAATGAACTGGAGCAGGCATCAGAGAGGCAGGAGACAGTTTAGAATCAGAGGACTTGAAAGGCCAGATTCCCTCCCCTTCTCCATCCTTTGGGTTCACAGATTAGTAAACTGAGACAGGAGAATCATATACCTTACAAAGCTCAGAGAGATAACAGACCCAACTCTGCTCATGCAGATTAGCCATTTACAGCATCTTTGATGGGTGGGTTTTTCCAAGGTCACTGAGGACAGTGGAATTTAATGGAAATAGACAAGGCTTTGAAGTCTGTAATTCAAATCTGAGCTCTTGAGCTCCTTAGTTGTGTGACCTTGGAAAGTCCTTTCACTTCCCTGACCTTCTGATCTCAGTTTCCTTGTATGGGCAATGGAAATCATAATGCCCATCTCATTGGATTATGGCTATGTATGAACGCTAACATATATACATGTCTAGCACTTTAAGGATGCTTACTAAACATTATTATGAAGTCTAAAGTCACAAAACAGATACCCCCTTATTTTCAGTACTCTGCCTTTATCCAAAGTTATACAAAGGCAAAAATAATGTGATAGGAGAGGCAAAGAGCAATTCATATGAAGGGTTAAAGATAGTAAAAAGGAGAGGAAAGGGAACAGCTAGGAGAACGTTTAATGCACAGAGACTGCACAGAAGTTGCAGATGGGCAAGCCAGACCCATGTGGGAAATGGCTCAGAAATTACAGGGAGGAAACATTTATAAGATTAAAGTCAAGATGAGGAAGAAGAAAAGGAGTGGAAAGATGAAAGAGAGAACAGAGAGTGGCAAGATGAAGAAAAGTAGGGGAGAGAAGATGGGGGCATACATAAGCTCTGGATCCTTGCTGAGATGACTCCTCCTGGAGGGCTTGAACAGAGACAGAATCAGCCCAAGGCCAAAGAGTGCTCTATTTGAGGTCCTAAATTTACAGCCCAACTTGAATCTCGGACTAGAAATGAAGAATTGGTGAGCAGCCCCTTCCCCTGGGAAGTGGGCAGAGGATCTCCAAGCCAGGGTGAGCCAATAGTCAACTATATAATGGATCTCTACCCAGTGCCCTTTTCAGGAATTTCACACACAGAGCAAAAGCAGCCAACTAGAGCTGCTCCAAACTGGGAGTAAGGATCCAAAATAAAAGTGCATATGTGGGCTGCTTAGCAGGGTAGCAGCTAGGGGGCCAGAGCAGTCCTGCTGGAGTTGGCGAGGGCAGTGTGGTGTTAAAGAGAGTGGAGTTCCAAGTCTCTGTCTGTCTACTAGCCATTAGTGAAACCACCAGGGAGGCCTCCTTGAGGGGTGAGCTGTGGTCTTGGCAATGGAAGGATGAATGCGTGAGTTGCAGGCAAGTGGGTGGGAAGGGGGTTCTAAGACCACAGGAAGTTATTTTAGGGACTACAAAAAGGTAGGGGACTAAAGACCCTAAAGACCGGACTTGTCCTTGGGCCTAAGGGGAGTCAAAGTTATGTCTTAGCCCTGCTCGCTGTACCCCCGGGGAGGCGGGGCCTTGAGCAGGGCTGGGCTGAGGCGCGCCCCCAGGTGCAGTCTCTGGCTTGAGCGAGGGGTGGGGTGAAGCGAGGAAAGCTGGGTTGAGCTAAGGAGGTTAGAGGGGACGCGAGTGGGTCCTTAAGTGTTAGAATTTTGGAGAGGAGTGTTGGGGCTAAAGAACGTTGAGAGGACGGCATTGGGGGATCCTGGGAAAGGGGAGGGAGCGTCTGGGACTTGCACGAGGCCGGGCGGAGCCTCCGAAACGCTCGGGGTCTGCCGGGGGAGCCAGGGAAGACGGGCGGGCGGCGGGGCCCGGGGAGGCGGCGCGGGGGGGCGGTCCAGGGCCGATCGGGAGGCGGAGCCCGGAGCTGGGGGCTGCTGGCTAGCGGCTCTGTCGGCTCCTCAGCTTGGGCGTCCT